ACACTGACCCCTCCACCCCAGCCTGCAGCCACCCCCTCCCCACACTGACCCTTTCACCCCAGCCTTCCCACTAGAGTTACCACCTACTCCACTTCCAGGCACAGGCTGTTGTGTAGGCGTCGGGACAGATTCTGCCAAAACCCCTGCAAAGGGAGTGGAGCAGGACTGAAGGCTACCCAGGACTGCCTGGTACCTTCCCCATCATTTAGGAGGTGGGGCTATCCATTCTGTGAGCCTCATTCCATCGTCCATTCCCTGAGCATCACTGAAATGCCACTTGGGTCACTAATATCAATCATCATTCTTGAGCGTCTAGCTAGATCCACAAGAATGGGAGGTTTGCATTTTTAGTTCCTGAGTAGTCCTCACACCTAGAATTAGTGTCTGTGAGGTAGGTAGCAGATAACCAAATGGTTGAGCCAGTAAGGTGCCTTCCCCTTATTACAGCTCTGGGAACGGCACCCCCATGCTCAGAGGGAAAACTTGAGATTTCTCAGCTTGCCAAGATTTGTTTCTTGGAGCAGCAAATCCAGTCTCAGCCGTGGAGCTTGTAACCAATAGGAGGGCGGAAGGTCTAAGGGACACTGTGACAGAAGTGACAATATGCCCCATTATGTATCTACACAGCCCTTTACCATCCTGTGGTCTGAAATGCCACTTCCATGGCCGAGCCAAGCTACATCTTTACCTATCTCTAAACCAGTAGTTTCTGCCCCCGAAGTCCCCATCCTTCTCCCAGCCTCCCTTCCTTCTGGCCCAGTACAGCCTCCTACTTGGGGCAGGACATGCAGTCATTACCATGTTAATTGAGCCCTGCAGACCAAGAGATGGTTTGTTTCAGGGCAGGAGAGGAGGGAGATGAAAGAAAAGGGTTTAGAGGAGCTGGAGGGATGGTGGTGCATGCCTTGAATCCCAGCACTCGGGAGGCAGAGGCAGAGGCAGGTGGATTTCAGTGAGTTCAAGACCAGTCTGGTCTACAAAGTGAATTCCAGGACAACCAGGGCTACACAGAGAAACCCTGTCTCGAAAAACCAAAAAGAAAAAAAAAAGGTCTTAAGGGCAGACAGCCCAGAATGGGGTACTCACCGAGAGTTGGGGGAGCAGTGCAATCTGAACAGGAGAGGCAAGACAAAGGCGAATTTTCCCTGCATGGCTCGGTGGAGCAGACAAGCCGGCCTGCCTGGCAGCCACAGCGGGTATCCGACACGGCTGAACAGTTCTCCAGGGTCACTTGAAAAGCTGTCAGGGGTGCAGGAATATGGGAACACGGGTGTGTTCAGGCTACTGACCTTCAGAAAGAGAAGGAGGTACTAGCTAGCCTCACAGGTAGAGAAGGTAGGCAGCTCATAGTGGACCAGAGGCCAAGGCATGAGAAAACAGGAAGGCCACAGGGGAAGGGAGAAGAGCATTTAGAAGCAGAATACACGGTGGCCACGAAGTGACCTGAACTCAGGGGCCTCACACCCACAGGCTGGGCCCAAGACAGCTTTGTGAATGGCCTGTCCGCAAGAGCCCGCCCCCCCCAAGCCCTGGGCAGGCCCCTCACCCCCTTCATCGCAGGCTTGGCAGCGGGTACAGTCAGTCTTAAAGTGGTTTCCCCAGGTTAAGAAGGTGCCCTGAGGACAGGGAAGGCAGGTGGAGTTGCCACAGGGCTCCGTGCAGCGGGCCTTCATGTAGTGTCCTGTGGAACCCAGGCAAGTGTCAGAGTCAAAGCATCTTACCTGTCCCCACTGGTCCCCATCTCTCTGGCTCTCTACCTGCCTCCCACCTGTGGTTGCCACCCCAGCCTCCCTGGACCCCATCCCCAGCCTGTCTTACCCTCCCCCACCCTCCTTTTCCCTGCTTTGCCCTCTTTTCCCTTCCAGCCACCTACCTTTTGGGCAGCCCCTGCAACAAAACCGGCCATACCTCTTCTGTGAGTCACTGGCACACTCACACGGGCCAGGAGGGCTGCCCTGGCCCTGGCCCGCGGGCAGCAGCAGCAGTAGCAGCAAGAGAGCCTGGGGAACATGCGCTGCTGACCCCTGGGTGGCTCCCAGGCTCCTCCTCCATTCCAGAGCCTTAGCATCTGCTTTCTCAGGCTTCTGGGCAGAATGGGGCGCCCATGGGAGGGGGAGCGGGGCCAGTTTCCTTATCGGTCTACAGACCCAGCTTACACAGCACAATCCCTTGTCAGCCCTTCACCCACTTCCCCTACAATCATCGACACCGGGCCACCCTGCCCCCCTCCATGCCTTCCGCGATATGGAGGCCCCCAGACCCCTCTTTAACCCGGAGCGTGTGCTTCCTCTCAGCGGAAGGGCGCGCCCGAACCTAACTAGGTTGGTGGGTGGAGGCAACCCAGCCCTCAGGGAGGTCGGAGTGTAGGGCACCCCCGCCACCATGCTTCACAGACACTTAGCTCCTGGGCTGCAGGACAAGGCTGTTTCCAGGCCTCCCTCGATCCCACTCACCTCCTTCATGTATCCCCGTGGCAGTGGCTCCATGGCGGTCTGTACCGCCTGGGACCTTTGAGTGCTACTCTGGTCCCGGTCCCGCAGCCCGGGGCTTCCCCACTAGCCCAGCCCGAGTTCCTAGCCCAGGCCTGCCCGCCCGCCCGCCCGCGCCATCCAGAAAAGCCCGCCTCAAGGGGATGGCCAGGGTGGGGTCTGCGGTTCTTCCGCAGCTAAGGGGGCGTGACTCTCTACCAGAAGGAGACCTTCCCGACGTGGTGCACTTTAGGTACTGGAAGCTGACCCAGGCTTTGACTAAGACCATAGGACAGAGTTGCATCCTGACCCCATCCTTGGGCTAGCTCCAGTCCTGGGAAAAATTTCTTAGAGGTGGGTCCAGGGCAAGTGTCTTTTCTCTCAGCCTTGAGTACTCGGGATGGGGTTGGGGAAACTTAGGTCGGAGAGAAACCTACATCTCCCGGAACAGCTGGGTGTGGAATCTGGGAGGGATGGAGTCCTGAGTTCTAAGCAATACCCTCTAGAATCTAGAAGAGTCTAGAAGGGTTCAGCAAGGGCAGGGATAAGAAGCATTTCCTGGGGGTTCCGATTTAATGGTGACCTCCTGGTTGTGGCAGGAGACAAGTTGGGGTGCTGGCCCACAGTATCTTCCACAGGGGTCCCACTACACACATCCCAGCCAGCTCAATGCATGTGAGCAGGGAACAGACCGGGTTCCAGAACCACAGGACTCTCTCCCGGGAAGTATATACAAGTCTTTATAAAAGAGCCAAATTCAATAAATACGCAGCTTGACAGAGTCCAGCCCGAGCCTCAGAGGCCAGCATGAGTTCAACCAAATGAGGGTGGTGGGGAGGGTTGCTTGGGAGCAACCCCAGAGGGTTAGGACCAGACATGTCAAGAGCAGAGGAAAAGGGGCTGCCTGGGCAAGGCGTGGAACTCGACAGAGAGAGCCCTTCTCCATTCCATCCAGTCCGGCAAAGTGCAAATCGGCCATGGGGTGATGGGCAGCCATCCTGCCTGGCACACGCGCACACGAGGCAGCCGTGAAGTGGGTGCCATATCCCCCAGGTGGCGTGTTCTCTGCTGTCCCTTAGTCAGTGGCACCCTTGGGGTCTCCTTCCGCTCACACCTCCCTGTAAGGGGCGGGGAGAAAGTCCATCCTTGGTTGATACCATTCACGAGATGGCTTTAGTTAACCCTCCTCTCCACCATGGTCCTTTGACCCCTTCCCTGCTGCCTTCTACAGATAGCCCCTATGGGCACCGGGGCAAGTCTGAAGCTCCTTTTCACACTCCATCCCCAAATGCTGATGCTCACAGTTATGGCTACATCCCTACCCACTCCCAAGACTCAATCCTACCCACGCCATCACACTGAGTCATCCGGTCCTCCCCCAGCCGGGCCACTCACGAGGCAGTGAGCGTGGAGTTAAGCAGCAGGGTGGTCCTGATCCGATAGAGCTGGGCCAGGGTCAGCTTTCTGTGCTGAGCGGAGATTCCTGGGGGAGGCTCAGGCTGCATCCTGGGAGCAACCCCTGAAGGCATGTCTCTCCTGGCACAATCTGTAGGTCCCCTGGTCAAGTGGCTGGCTCTGTTCTCAGGTTCTGACAACTCGGAGCCACGGCCAGGGCCACATGCCCCTGGGCAGTTCCAACCAGGTTCACCTTCCTGAAGGGAGCTCCGAGTCTTAACCCCAGGGGCCGTGGTGACCAGGCTCAGTTCTGACAGGCTGCGGCTGGGAGCTGGGGGCACTACAGGGGTGGCAGTTCCCGAGAGGAGCTGTAAGAGACTAGCCTCAGATTTGGACTTGAGCAGGCGGGGCAGACGAGGGATCAGCTGGACCGGAGTACGGCGGCGGAGGCAGGGTGAGGGGGTCTGCGGTAACTCCGGGGGCTGGGGCACAGGCACTGGCTCTACCACAGGGGGCGGAGCCACAAAGTCTTGCAGAGAAGTGGGGGACAGAGTGCCATAGGCAGAGTCCATGGAACAAGAGCGGCCGTCCACCGGGCCCAGGGGCAGCAGTTCGTTAGTGGGAGTGATGGATGAAGCCGTGGTGCTAAGGGAAGTCCCATCCGACTGGGAGCTGAAGGGACCACGGTCAAACTCCGGAGAAGACAGTGTCTCCCCAGGCTCTACCACAACCATGGCCAGGGTCTCCGTGGAGCCATCTGAGGCACTGTAGGGGCAGAAGGAGAGTCAGCCAGCCAGAAGACCCCTAAAAAACCTAAAGCAGCCTAGAGAACCAGGGGCTCTGAGGTCAGGGCTTCTGGTCCTGCCGTCACCAGCAGCACCTGCAATGGCACCTGCTACTCTGGTAGCAGACAGAGCTGTGCTCTAACAGTCCCCCTGGGTTCATAGCATGACACTATTCAGAGGGCAATCCCTGCGTCCTGGGCTGGCTGGGATCACTTATCCTGATGGACCCTACTGAATGCTCTTTAGTGTGTGTGTGTGCGTGTGTGCGTGTGTGTGTGTGTGTGTGTGACCTGGTCTGGCTGTAGAGCCCTAGAACTCGCTACAAAGACCAGGCTGGCTTCAAACGTCTGGCAATCCTCCTGCCTCCACCTCTCAAGTGCTGGGATTAGAGTCATGTACCTTAGCTTGGTGGGTAGATTGTATGTCGACCTGTCTCTTTCTTTTCTTCTTCTTTTCCTCTTTTTTCTTTCTTTCTTGAGACAAGGTCTCACTCTGTTGTCCAGGCTGCCATAAACTTAAGGTAATCCTCCTGCCTCAGCTCTCAAATGCTGGGATTATAAACACGAGGTTCGCGTTTACCGGGTAGTCTTGGGTAAACGTACCAGTGCTGAGAGTTGAGGCTGTTGCTGCTCTTTCGCAGGATGGTGGGGGAGCTGGCGGCTGAAGCGCTGCTCTCTCCCTCCTCTTCCTGTTCATCCTCCTCCTCTTCCAGGCTCTGCAGGGGCTGGCTGCCTGGATGCTCCTCCTGGGCACGCAGCTGGGCACGCAGCTGCTGCAGCTGGTTCTGCAGGGTGAGTGGGCACAGACATTGGATGAGCTGTGAGCAGCAGACCCCAGTTCCCTGCACCCGTCATTCTGTTCTCACCTGGGCATTGTAAATAGTGTCCACCCAGCTTCGGCACGAAGCCTGGCTGCTGGCCTGGAATGTGTAGGCCCCCACAGCACTGTGGAATTCATTCAGGTAGATGAGGAGGAAGGAGCCTGGTCATGGAAGGACCAGGTTAGTATCAGAGCCCTTGTCTGTGGCAGCCCCTTGACCAGAAACAGGGGGCCAGAACTCCTCACCAGGGTCCCGAAGCTCCCGGCACATAATCTTGTCCACCAGCAGTGGTGGTCTAATGACCTTGGTTCTCTCGGCTTTCTTCACGGCCTTGGTCACCAAGAGCAGATCAGTGAACAGGAAGCAGTACACATCCATCTGTGGCAGGGAAGCAAGAGCTGTGGGGTCACGAACAGGATCCTGAGCTCACTGAAAACCTCTGCTGTTGTTCATTTTTTGTTGCTGGTTTTCAAGACAGGGTTTCTGTATGTAGTCCTGGTTGTCCTGGGACTTGCTCTATAGAGCAGGCTGGCCTTGAACTCACAGAGATCCACCTGCCTCTGCCTCCCAGAGTGCTGGGATTAAAGGCGTGCGCTCAACACCATGACCCTGGTTAGTTTCTTTGTCAGTCTGACACGAGCTAGGGTCACCTAGGAAGAAGGACCCTCAACTGAGACAAATACTTCCATCAAATCAGCCAAAAGACAAATCTGTGGGGCATTTTCTTAATTAATGTTTGGTGTGGGAGGGGTGTGGTGGGAGGGGTGTGAAGGGGGTATGGTGGGAGGGGTGTGAAGGGGGTATGGTGGGAGGGGTGTG